GTGGCAGAGCAGGGGGTGGAACGTCCCCAAAACGCGGGGATGGCATTGTCCTGGTGACGCCCAAACGTCACGGGTGGGGGGACAAGCGTCCTACCTTGCACCCAACCAGTCTGGGGGGGTGACACGTGGGGCCACCCGTGTCCCTGCCATGGCTCACCTGGGCCCGGCGGAGAAGGGGATGAAGGCCAACGGGGACCGTCCCTGGCTGTTCTCCGGGCTGAACCTCAGAGGGTTGTAGACCTGGGGTGACACAGGCTCTGTCACACTGTGGGGACATGGCTGTCCCTGCCCAAGGGGACATCCCGCTGTCCCATGGATGTCACCAGCGCCAAGCCCCCCTGCGGCTCAGGCCAAATGTCCGGGTTGTGGTGGGTCCCATAGATGCTCATCAGGCAGATGATCCCTGGTGAGATGGAAACGGAGCCTTGGGGACAGGGGACAAAGACGGATGGTGACACTGGGGACACCTTGTGCCTGTACCCTTGGGGATGACACGTCCGTCACGCAGGCCGATGTCCTCGGTGCAGCGGCGGGACACGGCGGTGACGGGGGGGTGCAGGCGGAGGCTCTCCTTGATGCACATGGTGGTGAAGGGCAGGTGGGACAGGTCCTCCCTGGGGGCGAGGGATGATGGCACCAGCGTCCCCAAGCCAGGTGGCTGGGGAATGACACTGAGAACCTCTCACCACTCGATGTCCTCCACGTCTCTGCCCTTGAGGAGCTCGCGGACCTCCTGGCGGCACCGCTCCTGGTACTGGGGGTGACGGGCCAGGTTGTAGAGCAGCCATGCCAAGCCGCTGGCTGTCGTGTCGTGGCCTGCGGGGACAAGGACTGAGCGAGGGGACATGTGTGCCACGCCCTTCGATGGCATGCGGTGGCTCACCCTCACCCTCAAACATGAAGGTGTCAGCCTCGGCCGAGATGTCCTCGTCCGACAGGGTGTTGCCGTCCTCGTCCTGCAAGGGTGAACGTGGCAGCCAAGGGTGACTGGGGCCACGACCCTATGGCCAACCTTCCCCATGGCCACCACCGTCTCCCAATGGCCACCACCATCTCCCTACAGCCACCACCGACCCTATGGGCAACCTTTTCCATGGCCACCACCATCGCCTTGGCCACCACCCTATAGCCAACCTTCCCTGTGGCCACCACCCTCCTCCTCGCC